GTGGTCTATTTTGTCAAATACCTTGCTGAAATCTAAATATATTATGTCCACAGTATTTCGTTGGTCTACTAATTTAGTCACTGTGTTGAAGAATGAAATAAGATTGGTTTGGCATGATCTGTTTTTAACAAACCCATGCTGACTGCTAGTTATTACTTTACTTGTTTCTAGATGTTGGCAGATCTGTTTTTTTATTATCTTTTCCAGTATCTTCCCAGGTATTGATGTTTGGCTGATTGGTCTGTAGTTTCCTAGGTCTGTTCCCCCCCCCCTTTTTTTTTAAAGATGTAGCCAACACCCAGCCAGATTGCCCTCCCCCATGGTCTCTGAAGTTGACACCCTCAATTTAAGCTCCAAAGTCTTTTAATAAAATGTTTGTGGTATATAATGAACATAAGGCTCCTTAAATGAAAATCACCAGCTCCCAAACCTAACCCAGCGGCATTTCCTGATTCCAAATTTAATGGGTACCATTCAAATTTGGGTTTTGGCTATTCACAGTAGTTAAGCTGTAACCTGGAATTTTGTGGGTGTTTTATATTCTAAATAGAGTACACAGCATAGGCAAAATCTTTCCCAGATCACTGCAAAATGCATCCATGTCTTCTTCAACATTTACAAGGTTCCAGTGTCCTGCTCAGGATATTTGCCTTACAGCTTTCAGCATTTCCAGTGAAATAAACCAAAACATGCAAATTTCACTTCTTCTTGTTGTTCTAAAATAAAAATAATAAAATCTAAAGGAAATAGCTTCTATGACAATTTTAGCCAAAAAAAAAAACCACTCCAAAAAACAAAACCAAGAATTGGTGGAAAGAACCAGCTGCTGAAGAGGCGGCCACTTTGTTTGATATTGAAAATACTCTGATTGGACAGGCGGGCCAGGAAAACTTTGAAGCCCCTGGTTTACAGAAAATGATCCATGGTATTAGTCATGACTGACAACACATAAAATACATGTGAGGCATATAAGCTTCTATTTCTAATCCGTCTAAAGTTGCAAGATGGGAGGATCTGGAATAAGAACATGTGACCATGGCTACATAGTGGTGACTAATTGGTTATAAAGGTCATGCCTCAGAAACATAAGATTCGATGAAAATTTATGTTAAGGATTCCTTTTCTCTCTGTTAGTGCAATTAAGTACAGTACAGTTTGTTAGAACAATTTGATTACAACTTGTGTATCAAAGCAACTAAGGTATGTGTATACTCCTACTCGATGAAGGATATTTGTGTAACCTTTAATTACCATGTCTACTTATCATCTGTACGGGTAGTTCTTGCTTAATTATGTTAATCGGGATTTGCAACTCCATCATAAAGCATAAAGGTAATAAAGCATGATGTATGTGATTGCGCCATATTATAGCAGCCCCAGTTCTAATTGCTGTTCTGACTCTAGAATGGTCACTTAAGCACAATGGCATGTGGCCAACATTTGTCACTGAACAAGTTATCATTAAGTAAGGACTACTTGTATTGTAACTGGGTAACTTTGGTTAATCTTCTATATAAGATAATGCAGCTTTTCTTCATGGATCTTGAACAAGAGATCAGTGACTTGGTATAATGCCTAGCTTTGGACTAATAAAAATGATTGTTTGGATAATTTGGCATTTGGACTAAAACATTTGGCATTCCTTGGTGTGCCAGAAAGATTTTCCTCTAGAAAGGAAACAGCAATATTCCCTAGAGAAGGGGGAAGGGGAAGAAGGGAATCACAAAACATACATCATGTAGTCACAATGCAAATTCCATGACAAACTTGCATCCCGATGTCTGATGCAAATATCTAAGCATGTTTTTTGCACGATGCTATCAATGCACATGTATCATTGTAATATAATCTTGGTTTGTGCTGCTAAACCCAGACTGCTGTTAATGATAAAACTGGGAAAGTTTAAATTGTGGTATCCCAACAGCCTGCTTTAAGGCAGAATGTATACTCACAATCATTTACAAATGCCATATATATCAAGTTGGAGAAAGAAAGGGATGGAAATATTACGAGGGATCTTCTCACACTGAGATTTCCCTTCATTCTCAAAATCTGAAATGGCCGCAGTAATTTAATATTAAAGATTAAATTTTAAAGGCATATGGTTACAATTTATAAACCAGAGTAACAAAACTCTTAAAAAAGAGAGCAAAGAAATGCCCCCTGCCTTCCTTAAAATTACCCCATAACAATATAATAAAGAGCATCAAGTTAACCCATTTTGATTGATGGCATAACTCTCCGTGACTCAAAGACCATATTTGATATGCAGTCAGTATTTACACACAACAAAAACCATACAAGTCACATAAATATTCCCTTATAGAAACTTGCCCTGGTTTATGTTCATTTAACATATTTTGTCTCCTTCCTTGTGCAAAGTAATATCTGAAATAGATATTATTTGGCTTCAGATAGTAGCTCTAGGCTGTTCTTATTTTGTTTCCTAGCTCAGACAAAAGCAATTGCACTTCCCTCCCCACACCCTGAATGGATTCATTGCCATTTCCTTAGATATAGATAACTTGAAAGGAACATGATATGAGGATACCGGAAAACTTAATAATTGCTCCAAGGTAACAATGAATCCATGATCTGTTTTGGTACAGGTGCTTGCATAAATAATGATCATAATTAACTTGATTCTATCTGGGGGATTTTTTTTGGAAATGTGATCTTCTAACAAATAAAAACTTGACAATAGTGAAGACATTTTGTGTTTGTCCCTCACTATGGATTTTCAAAGATATGAGACTTTATACAGCCTTCTAGATGTTGTTGAATATAGCTTTAAGCAATACTGCCAGTAGTCAAGAGATGCTGAAAGCTGAAGTTGAGAAACGTCTGAAAATCCACAGATTTAATATACCTGCTGCTCTATTTTTATATATTGGTTTGATTGGTTTGGACTGTTATTAAAAGAAGGCCCAGTAAAGCATCAAGTGAGTCTATTAAAAAGTTAAGAAGATAATTCTAATAATCTTTCTAACTTCAGAATATTGAATCATTAGTTGGCTGATTCTTGTATATTCCAATAACTTTTAAAAAGCCAGTTTATGACATTGCTGTGGTGGCTCATGTCTTGATCACCACACACCTGGATTACCACAATGTGTTCTCTGTGACTGCTTTTGAAGACTGATCAGAAACCTGATTGTCAGTAAATTTCTGGAGGCAGACCAAAGTGCTGGATTGATTTATAAAGCCTTATATGCAGGGGTGGGCTGTTGGGGGTTCGCAGGGGTTCAGGAGATCCCCTAGCTAAGATTCTGTGCAGTTTGGAGAACCCCCAAATCTCACTCCTCCCTGGCTGGCCCTGCCTACACCTCCCCTCCCAGGAGTCCCACACGACCCGTGTTGGATGCAGGTAAGTGCAGGGCACATGTGGAGGTTTGGGGACAGTGAAAAATGGGCCTTCTGGAAGTTCGGGGTGGTTGGAAATGGGCCTGTTTCTAGCTTCCAGAGAGCTTCTGGAGCCCACCGAGACCATTTTTGCCCTCCTGTAGGCTCAAGGAAAGACTCCGGAACCCAGGGAGGGAAAAACCGCCCCCCCCTGCCGTGGTGCGGGAGGCCAACTAGGCCACATCCACCATGACTATGCCCACCCAGCAACCAGGCAGAGAACCCTTTGCTAAAATTTTTGAAGCCCACCCCTGCCTAAATGGCTTGGCACCCAGGTTCTCCATAGGACCATCTTCTCAAATTTGACCCATGCAGGGTGTCTCTCCTGGGGAGAACTTTTAGTAAAGTCTCACTTCTTGAAAATAAGGGGATGATAGCCCTTGACCTCTGGAAACATCTTCACTCAGAGGCTATATTGTCTTCATCTTTAACAAACTTCAATATGGACACACCAGGTTACTCCAGAAAGTGTTGGAATGTATTATTATCTCAACTGGATTCTGTTACATGATTTAAAATTAACTTAATTTTAACTTGAATTTTAACTTACAGTGAACATTGTTTTGTTTTATAATGTGAAATAAAATATACAATATTTTAACCTCTGAGTCATAAGGTACCAATATACATACATATACATACATACATACATACATACATACATACATACATACATTTGAGAAGTCTTTTCTTTTGAGAAACAAATGTTCTTTTCATCTTCTTTCTTTACTTTGTCTTTTATTTTATAATTATTATATTCCAAGCAATACACAGGTCTATCAACTCAGTTTCTTTGATTGAAGGTCAGAAACAGTTAAACGGTTCCTCCCAATTAAATTATTTGACCATGCATCTTTGTTGATTTTTATTTTAGAGTTTGGAGGCGTTGTTTTAATTATTTTGTGTGTTGCCCAGCATACAATATTAGCAGCTTCCCAGTTTGTATTTTAAAATAAATGCATTTAAAAAAAAATGTATATACCAAAAAAATAATCATTGTCCAAAGAGGCTCTTTTGAGCATTTAGTCAATATAAATACATTTTAAAAAATAACTAAGGACCGTTATTTCCAGTTGTTAATCACTGCTGTGCAACAAATGTGAGTAACAAAAGTTTTCTCATCCAATAGAATTAAATTAATGTAAAAGTCTTCAGACCAATTTGGCACATTGAATAACAAAGAAAAGACAAAGTTCCTATAGCTTCTCAGAGGAAAAACACCAAAGTAACAGTCTGTGAAGGATGAAAGCACAAGTGTCAGAGGCAATTTAGTTCATTTCTCTCAATGACATTCCTAAATGAAAGTTTTGGTAGTATTAAAATAAATGTCCTTTTCCTTTTTAAAAAAAATAAAAATCCACTACCCAAACCGATATCAGTTACTCACAGTGCAATCCCCCTGACAAAATAGTACGATCTCACAATATATATAATTTTTTAAAAAATAAAGAAATTCCCACTGGGGGAAAAAAAGTGGGAGGGATGAGAAACTCAAAAGAGCAGTGCCGAAGTCAGCAACAACATCACACTGTAAGGAGTCTGTGCTAGTCATCAGAGAGGGAATATAATGTGGCTTTCTTGCTGCTGGGACTTTGCTGGGAACATCTGATGTAAAAGAGAAAAGGAGCAAAACCGGACTTCATCTCTTGCTTGTACCTGACTCTTTAGACTAAGTCTGCCTAAAGATTGGGGTGCAGAAAAACTCAAGAGAAGCAACCAGTCTTTCTGGCTGAAGAAAAAAGAATTTAAACAATTCTACATCAAGGTACTGCTAGTTGTTTCTCTCTAATGTCCTTTGGGATCAGTTTGGGGAAAGGATAGTAGGGGGAGGGAAGGAATGAGAAATTTATATTTTAGATAATTTGGTGGTGGAGGTTATGCCAATGGGGAGATGCTCAAAAGGAAGAAAATGTTCCAATTCTTTGTCTAATTGATGTATTCAGAGTTTGCAAACACAGATCAATGGTGCCTCCCCAAGTTTTGATAAATATTACCTGATGGCCTCAAGAGTAGTTCTATAAGGATTTGTGTATTTTTTTAGATATTGTATTTTTCAGCCCTACTTGCATTTTCTCCAATAACCAGATGTGTTAACTCAAAATTGCACAACTATTGTGACAGCTGATGCACTATGCTTATTTGGGAGTCCAGAAAGAATTTTATGTAGGAAAATCCTCCTAAGAAACCAGTATGTGTATATGAACTGCTACCATCTCTCCCTTTCTCCCTTCCTCCCTCCCCCAAAGCTTTTGTGCTGAAGACTGCAGGGTCTTTGACACTTTGAAGAGCACTAGCATTATACAGCCTGTCACGGCAGCTCACCTTCTCCCTGAGAGATTATATTCCTAATAAATTTCTAAAATGTGGTTTGTGTCAGGCTAGTAGCAACATGTACAGATTGCTCCAAGCAAAATCTGCCTGAAGATGGTTAGCTGCTATTAGTTGCATCCCTGGAACTGAAATGAAGCCATTTCAAATTTGGAGAAGAAATTGGGAAAATACCTTTAGGATCTTCCTTCCTTCCTTCCTTCCTTCCTTCCTTCCTTCCTTCCTTCCTTCC